TGAGTATTGTATATGATGTTTTGAGATATGGATCGACTTGTATATGGATGTTTTAAATTTATTTTAAATTTATAGACTGTTATTAATTGGAGACTATAGATGACTCTGGTAAATGGCTGGTGTGATCGACATTCTTTCCAAGTTAGATCTCGGGGTGTCACACTTATAAATCATAAACACAACTTATGTACTCCCCAACTCTACTTGCTTGAAATCTGACTTCAAAAGGAGTTGAAAGAGTTCTTAACGTAGTCCTTTGTGTTCTCCCACTTCATTTTTAATGATGAATCAGGCTGCAAAAACTTCCACCTTAGCAACAGTGGAAGAATCCAAATTGAATGGAATTAATAACTCCGAACTGCTCTCCTTTACCTCCATTATAATTCATGATCAACATATTCATGGTGGCTTTTGCCTCCAAATCTCCTTTGCCAAAGTTTTACTCCAGAAATCATAGAGTTTTATTTTGTCATGAACGCTCTTTCCTCTATATATGTTCAACAGCTTTGTCATCAACGGTCTCTTCTTTGAAATCGCTAACGGCTACCTAACATTACTAGTAAAAAAAAAAATTTTCGCATCAGCATTACATGATTTGCTTCATAACAATATTTTCTAATTAAAAAATTCTTATGAATTTCATTTGGATGTCCATATGGGAAAATGGCGGCCTGGGTCCTTGAGATCGATTAATAATAACTGTAAATATTAATTAATTACCCAAAGAGGCGGGAGTGGAGCTTCCAATATCATTAATCGCCTATAATTAAAAGTAATTAACAGCCACTCTCTAATCTCACAGAGCATTCATACCTCTGACTATGATATTCTTTGAATCCATCCGTATCTGCTGTTCGTATCCATAAGAATTTCCGATAACCGTTCTTCCCAAGAAAAAAAAAAAAAGATCAGAAAGTTATAATTAGCTTGTAATTAATGCATGCACGACTTATTACGTTTTAACTCCTTAGATATAACAGTTCAACAGCACTCGAATACTAATTACTTTTCCAAAGTTAATTAAGCCGCCTTCCTCGAATAGAGAGAGATGAAAGAGAGAGAGAGAGAGAGAGAGAGATGGGGGGTATGATTTATATAAAGGAGATCGAGATCAT